GGTACATCAACCAGTTTTTTTTATCAATTGTGGTTTGATAATTTGGTTAATTTGTTTGCTTCTTTAAAAATGTATAGCAAGTTTGGTTTAGGTGGATTGATAAGATCATATACTCTACTAAATAGGCTAGCTAATTGAATTAATTTTCTTTATAAGAAAGGGGCTTAGATGTCCAGGCTTCCTCTTGGCGTGTGCATTAGTCGACAACTACATGAATTGGTAAGTCAAACTCAAAATGATTCGGTATACTAAAGTTAGTTAAATAAATCTAATTATGTGAATTTCAGAATAATACGTCAATGTAATATTGAATGGATATGTTTAGAGGGGAAGAATAAATAATCAAGTTGCATACCCAATAGCTAATATGAAGTAACAATGATCCAGGTAAATTGTGTCGCAAGTGCTAATACATTAATTTTTTACAGGAGGTTGGTCTAATATTGTCGTTTGAAAAATGTGTTATTTAGAGCTTATTAACTCACTAATATTTATATGTTGATTGTTGTTTTAGAACTCGATATATGATAGTTTGTGACATTCTTTAATTTTTTGGTATAATACCAATATGACTATCGTTTATCCAAAGTATATATTCCTCTTTTTTTTGCCATAGATATCCCTAGAGGGGAAGAGCAGATACACAATATAACAATATACACGACCTTTGCAGGTCAAATCACAAAAAGAAGAAAGTAAAAGACCTTTGCATGTCTGACAATAATAGGGCTTTGTTGCCACGATATGGCAGCCCTATATTACCTTTTCGGAAATAAGCATAATCCTTGACTTAACATCTACCCTTTGCAGGGAGAAAATCATGGATCGAGCTCGCAGAAGTTGCTGCAGGCTGTCCTAGATGCAGACCATGCTGAAACTGGAGCAGAGAAGCAAATCCTTACCATTCTGACGGTGATGGATATAAGGGAGGGGTAGAGGAGGACAACCATATGCCTAGTAGGAGTGACTTCATCGGAAAAACAAACACACAACTAGTCACGAAAAGGCTTGTCCAAGAAACAAACAAACCTCTAATAATATGCAAAAAACATAAAACACAAAAAAAAGAGACCATAAATTGATCGTGCAAACAAAATGCTCCAGTTCTTCCACCTAGTTTTATGTATACTTATTAGCTAGCAAAACATGAACAGACAACCCTATAGATTGCAAACTTGACCCTGTAAATATTAATGAAGCACCTGATAAAAAATTCAGAATATAAAACAAGAGAAAAGAGCAAATGGAAGATGCCTAGAGTAAGAGGATAACAAAAGACTGGACATATAGGTAAAGTCCACCACGCGGTCGAACAGAGCTGGGTTGTAGCCCAAAATAAAACAAAAACAATAGATCTGGACAAGCTGGAAGTAAAACAGACCCAACCCAATTAGCCAAATGAAATAAAAGGCGTTAACTATAAAAATAATAATAGAAAATGAATTACAGACAAACCAACTTACCTCTTATCTTCAGTGGATTAGGATAAGAGCAAAGCTGCTGTTGGCGGAAAAGACTCGCAAGCGTACACGTGTCGAAGACTTGTGAGAACGTCTTAGCAAAGCTTCTGCTGGAGGAAAGACTCGCAGGCGTCATCGCCGGCACAGAAGACGACAATCAATCGTAAGGAGACACACCGAGCTGAAGAGCACGCCGACTACTGACAGCTCCATCGTGCCCAAACAGTCCAACTAAGCACAAATACGTTTCTGGAGAACTGCAATATATATGTCACACGATGGCAATAACACTGATGAAGCAGAGAACTGCCAACCGTGGGAGAGAGGACACAATCAGTGACCACTTCTTCATTGTCACTTTCCTCTGGTAGTGATTTGTGATAGCCTATTTCATTGGTTGGGTAATTAATTATCACCGAATCAAAAAGGCTTTCCCTAATTCTCAATTTCTACAAATAATCCTCAATTGCCTCTATCCACTATGAATCCACCTTATCAGCCAGAGACCACGACCTTGTTGATTTTTATGCTGGTGGTGGTGCGGGAGGGGCAAAAGACCTCGGCTGGCAGTGAGCACCATGGGAGGCGAGGTTGTAGTTAGCACGACTTTGTTGATGATGCGAGTAGCGTCCTCACCCGTTCAGGGTGTCGACGCGGGGCCTACACCCTGGACGGCGACAAGGAGCCTCTAGAGGGAAAGGGGTATGATAGGTGGGTGTTGACTGAAAAAAAAAGCGGAGGCTAAAGGAGAGACGGAGGCTTATTGTGTGGATGGAAATAGTAACAGTGCAATAGAGAGAGAGAGGGGGACGTCGCAATCTGAGAAAAGTCTAAGGAGACATGGTTGGCGGCGATAATCCAATGGCCACGATAAGGAAGGAAGAACAGGGTTCATTCATGGGTTACTATGATTCTATTATATTATTCTTCCATCATCAACTCTCTTTCTTTCATTCCAAAATACCGATGGAGAAACCAAACTCCAATGGTGGCACCCTTTTCCATCATTTCCTTATCATCTTTCTCCTCTGCTCCATACCATCCTCCTCCATGGCTGATTCTGCCCCAGCCCAGACTCAAATCTTCGTCAACTGCTGGTCAACGCCGATGATGGCAGAGTCTTCGACGCCAACCAACCTCCCCGAAATTTCAAGCTCGAAGGCGGAAGCAAAATTCTATCATATGGGACAAATACTCCGGCTTCTTCTCTGTACAAAACAACAAGAATCTTCACGAGACGGAGCGGGTACGATTTTCGGGGCTCTGGTTTGTGAATAGAATGGTTTGCAAATATGGAAGGTTTTCTTGGGGGAAGGATTGGAGGAAAAAAAGAGTAAAATAGGCTCATTTATTGGATGGTGGCCCACATGTGACTTAGCCTCCAATAGCTGATGTGGCAACCTGCGTGGCATGGAAATTTATGTCTGGACACCTACTGTTAGTTCGATGGATGGAAATGGTAACGGTGCAACAAAAAGTTAACGTAAATGGTTTAGTTGCAATAAAAAGTACTTAGGTGGTTAACGTGCAACAAATGGGATAGGATACTGTCACAACCCATTTTGTAGCCATCAAATTCGTTCTCTCTCCTATCTTTTTTTTTAAATCAATGGTTAAGATTAAAAGTAGGGTATTTTTGGAATGGAAAAAACTTACCACACTCAATCATTGACCCCATATAAATGAAAAAAAACCTAATTCCTCCCTATCCCACGTAGACTGCTCCCCCCCCCCCCCCCCACCACCCACTATGGCCTGCTGCACAACTGCTGTGCTCTCTACCGTCGCCACAACACTGTCCCGTTTCTCTCCACCGCTGTCGCACCATCCCACGACCCTCCGCCTCCCTCAACTGGCGCCTCGCGACCCTCCTCTGCCTCACTCCACCTCCTGCTGCGCCCTCCATCGCCTCCCTCCATCCCTGTCGCTACCATCTCTCTCTCGTCACCCTCTTCTACCGCCACCCCCATCCACTGACACCGTCGTCTCTTCCTTTGCTCACCTCTTCTGGTGTGTATCCCTTTACTACTATACTCTTCCTCTCCCCCCCCCCTCGTTTTTCATATATGTGACTTTTGAATTTTCACATATGTTTTTTTCTAATGGTAGTAATTTTCTTCTGGTAGTGGTACTAGATGGAGTAGTACACTACCACTACCATCTTGTAGCTGGTAGTGGTATAGTATCACTATCATTTGGTACCATACGCTACCACTACCAGTTGTCAGAGGGTAGTGGTAGCCAGTGGCGGAGCTAGCTTGGAAGAGGGTGGGTCCCCGGACCTACCTTGGCTCGAGATTAAGTGCTCGAGATTAGGGTAAATTTCTCCATCCTCAAACGAAATCGGTCGAAAAACTATAAAAACACATCGTGGGTCATGTAAATATTAATTATATTTATCATATATATTTTTATTTTCACGTCGGACCCACCTTGAATGAAATCCTGGCTACGCCACTGGTGGTAGCGTTGTACTGATAGTGATACCAGTGGTAGTGCTAGTGTACCACTAGCGCACTGACGGAGTGGTATTTTTTTGCAGGCGATCGGAGCGAGTCTGATTCAAGGATTTGGCCGGAGAAAGTCTATCGGTCGAAAAGTCAGCCGAGGGATGAGATAGCATGCATAGTTGCATACCCATAAAAGGGTTGGAAAAATGACACCCCCTATTAATTATAGGTTTTTAAGGTAATTAATTTGTGTTGCATTTAATAATCTATATGAATTAAAAACACATATTAATTACTTTCCTTTTTTCAGTGCACTGGTAGTTGTATCAGTGCAATGGTATTAGTGTACAAGTGCAATGATAGATGTATCAGTGCAATGGTAGTTCCAAAAAAGGAACGTAATTAATACGAGTTTAGTATACAGGTGCAATGGTAGTTGTATCAGTACAATGGTAGTTAAAAAAAAGGAATGTAATTAAGATGAGTTTTTAATTTTCAAAGATTATTAAATGCAATACGAATTTAATGCAAAAAATAACTATAATTAATAGGGGTGTCATTTTTCCAACCCTTTAGAAGGGTTAGCATGCTAACCGATCCCGTCAGCCGATCAGAGTGGAGTGGTTGCTAAAAAGGAAGAGAGATATAAGAAGAGAGAGAAATATATTTATTAATTGAATTAAATTTATAAAAGCATGCATTTAATATGGGGTTTTCATTCCCAATCTATAATTAATACAGAAAAATTAACTAATAAATTCATTTTTTTGTCACATCCAAAATGTCATTGGTTGTGAATCTCACAACCCCTTAGGGGAAGTGATCGTATCCCGTCTCGTAAAAAATAGTAAACTTAAGTGTTAAATAGTGCAATTAATCCGATTTTAACTTATCAAATTAAGTTATTCCGGCCAACCGGCCGAACCATATATAGTTTTCATTTATAGATTCATCAGTGATGCAATCGGGCCAACCTTTAATTAATACAGTGAGGATTGGTAGGCGGCCCAGCGCGCATTACCCAATTGCTTAGTTTTTCTCTCTGAATACGGCCCATGACTAAGAGAAGAAGAAATTGGGCCTTGGTCCCGCCAAAAAGAAAACCATGGAGGGAGAAAATAAAACAACTGGACGAAAACCCAACCCAAACCCTCCAACTGGCAAAGCACCAGAAGAAAGAGGACGACGATCGACGACGAGGAGGAGAGGGGAAAGCGTAGGGCTGTGATCGGAGCGGGTCGCGTAACTTCTGGAATTGGATCAAGTATCGGATAATGGAAATTTGGAGGTAGAAGAGAAGAAACATCTCTGTAGGATTAGGAGTAGAAGAATCGGGGGGAGAGGATAGGCCGGTAAGCGAGGTTTCCAAGCGCCATCATCTGTCTGTTTGTGACCGCGACAGGAAAGGAGGAAGACGCGATTGAAACGTCGATCAGAAAAGGTATTTATTTATGCATCCGTCTGATTAGTAATTTAGGGTTTCCTGAAACTCTTGTTCTTTCGTTCCTTCGTGTTTCACGACTCCGATTCCCATTCCATCTGTCAGATCCATTTCCGTTCTAGGGTCAATCCGTAACTTTCCAATCCCTGTTGCGGAGCTCCATTCGAATCTCTCTTGCTTTCATAGGAATTTTATGGTTTCATTTTCATCACTCACACGCTGTTTATGATTCTCCTCCCATTTACATGAAATTAACTACTTGTATCGCAACTACCTCTACTTTTTCATCATCAGCACTAGGTTCCTGAGCTCATCGGAATTGCTACTCTTACTAACTCGTTCAGTCATTCGAATGGCGGAGAAAGCTTGCGTCAAGCGGCTTCAGAAGGAATACAGGGCACTCTGCAAGGTAAGTATATTCTCCATGCCCCTCTTCCTCAATACGCACCTCACTTTTTGAAAACTGCCTTTTTGGGAAGCGAACGTCCTTGTGAAGTTTTCGTCTTCCTGAAGTTAGCCTTTTGTATGTCGAACTGAATAAGAGGTTCAATGTGGTAGAGGCAATAAAGTTGCAGGGTTTACGTATAAAGTTTTGCAATCGTCCTTCTGGCAGTTTTGTACGTTCCTTAACTGTGTGGCAGTAGCTTCACTATTTTGGTGGAAACCTGGGCACTAGTTCCTTGACTTAATTTGTTCCCTGATGAACTTTCAGGAACCAGTCTCCAACGTGGTTGCTCGTCCTTCCCCAAACAACATTCTTGAATGGCGTAAGTAACTGTTCCTTACTATCTTCTGCACACAAGCATAAAAGTGAAATACCACCTGCTTTTCTTCTTGTTCCGCTCCAGCATGTCAATGCTTCCCTGCCTATCTTTGATTTTTCTGTGGACAGAGATCCATGCTGTATGTTGATGCTTGGAATGAAAACATAAAGGAGCCTGTACTTTATGCATACATAAAATAATGCGACTATCAACATTTGTTGTTTTGTTCATTTTGTCTCTTTTGCTCTTCCTTGTCATGTGGTTTTGTCTGGTCAATCCTTTTGGGGTGTTATGCTTAGATCTGATTGTTGCTTGTTTTCCTCTGTTGTGATATTCTAGATTATGTATTGGAGGGAAGTGAAGGAACTCCTTTTGCAGGTATGCAACTTATCATTAATGTGCTACTTGAGAGGGAATACTGGTTTTGCTGCTGGAAATCACTTTGTCTTGGACTTTTTTCCAGTTTTCATTCATGATATTTAACTGTTTTAGATGGACTTTGTAAATTTTGTTCAGGTGGATATTACTATGGAAAGATCAAGTTTCCTCCTGAATATCCATATAAACCTCCTGGAATTACGTAATGCTCATTCTTCCTCGTCAATGAATGTATTCCATAGTAAATGTAATTTTATGTTTCTTTTTTCCAATGATGAGCTTCTTTAACTTATATCATCCTTTTTAACTGCTATTGGTAGTATGATCACTCCGAATGGACGATTCATGACTCAGAAGAAAATCTGCCTGTCAATGAGTGACTGTAAGTTACCAATCATTTTTCAATCGGAAGTAAATTTCATACTATGTAGTAACTTTGCGTGTATCCTTCATGTTCTCCTGTTCAGTTCATCCAGAAAGTTGGAATCCGATGTGGTCTGTATCAAGGTAAAACTGATTGGGTTGATGTCTGCTCTTTATTGGTTGCAGACATTCTATTATTGTATTTCTTTAGCTCCCAGGGTGTAGCCTCTTGCAATTATTGAAAACAGGTGGTTCTTAATTGATCTTTGTATAACATTTTTTTCATGTACTGGTGCAGCATACTTACAGGGCTGCTTTCTTTCATGGTGAGTGCACTTTGCTCTTTGGATCTTCCAATTGGTTTCAGCATTCAAATTTGATCTTGCATACTTCTAGGACTGGTTGTAGCAATGCACGCTTTTACTCTGGGAGTCTTCAATTTTTCAGTGAATAACATGCATTATATTTTACATAATCTCTTATGCACTCTCATCCTCGGGAATAGGGGAAAGTGAGAGGTTGGGTGCTCTTGGTAGTTTAAAAAATGTCCTGATTTATTTTTTAATTTGAAGAATACCTGTTGATGTAGGGATTATAACTCTTCCTCTACCTGCGCTCTATTATCTTCTTACCCTTCTCATGCAGATGGACAACAGCCCCACGACCGGCAGCGTTAATAGTACCATCACTGAGAAGCAACGCCTGGCAGAGGCCTCTCTTGCTTCCAATTGCAAGAAGTATGCCAATCTTTCTACATCACTTTCCCCCCTTTCCTTTTCTTAATTTCTGGATGAATTTCTTTTCAGTTTCCTACTACGCGGTCTACATATAGGGTTATCCCTTTTCGGCTTCCCTTTCTCACATTCTGTTTATTAATTATCTGAATGGTCTACTCTACTGGATCCATTCATGCCAATTCTCTGGCGATGGTGGCACTTTCTTTTGAATAATTGTGAAATATATTGTAGATGGAAGTCATGAAACTTAGCTGATTTAAGGCCTGTGTATTGTGAGCTTCTTTTTAATTGAGTTTATTAATATGATTGTTTGTGTTTGACCTCTTCTTTTCTGACAAGCAGTGCGACATTTAGGAAGTTATTTCCCGAGTATGTTGAGAAGTACAACCTACAGCAGCAGCAGCCTGATGAGCAACCTGGTTCAGATATGGGACCTGAGATTTCAGAAGATGAGAACTCGAGGCCTAAGCCAGAAAAAGTGGACGGCCATTTGGAAGAAGAGGGGAGAAGGGTAGATCCAGCAAAGGATGCAAGAAGAAACAACAGAAAGCAGACATTTCCTACATGGGTGGTGTTATTGCTCATTTCAATCTTTGGGGTTGTAATGGCACTGCCTCTGCTTCAGCTTTCACATCCCTAGACCGATGAATGAAGTGGAGAAACTGAAGCAGGGGGTAACCGAAACTAAACAGGCCATGAAATGCTAGGCTGGGACTCTTTTTTTCATCTTCTTGTCTTCTGAATGCTTGTCATTAGGTTTCATCTATGTACTGGGGAAAAAGGGGAAAAAAAAATATATATAGCGTGTATAGAAGTTTGTCATTTTGACCTGTGTGGTGGGTATCTACAGTCTGGTGTCTTTACTGATTCCAGTACTGGTGTTTTATGTTAGCAAAATTTGCTCTTCGACCAGCTTGTGGGAGTGTATTGGTTCTTTCTCCATTCATACTCCCTTCTGCAATTCCCTTTCTGTAACCACCGACGATCAGAACACGTGGTATTTTCGACGAGCTAACTCCAGTCGTCGAGAATCAGTATTCAGTAGAGTACTTCTGATACATTCGAAGTAGTGCAACGCGTAATCACAAATCAAATATCCTAAGCTATCTTCTGAAGAAGAATTTCATTACCCATGTAAAGCTGGATTATGAATAGTATTGTTACGCATGTTCACGAATCGAATACGGAATGCCGAGGCAGGCTGGGGAGGTTCCAATCCATGATGCATTAATAAAGTTTGGGGACTATATTTGAATCTCTCATAAAATTTTGGGGGTTTTCCGTATTCTATGTACCTATTTATTTGTTTTTTTTTCCTGGATATTCATTATGATTTTTTTAGAGCTTTTTCCCAATTCGCGTTATCTTTTCGGAGGCAGTCTGCGGAAACGAGACGAGTTGAGAGTTGAGACCGGAAGCACAAGAGGCGGCTGTCGCTGTGCTACAACACTGGGTGCCATTGTTGGTGTACTTCCGCAGTCCATATCTCAGTTGCGGCCTCTCATTTTCACCTCCATCGACGCCGGTCACTGCTCTGGAACTGGGAAGGAATCTATCTCTCCCCTCTCCAAGTCCAACTGTTTTGTGTAAATGCTGCCTTTCAGTAGTAGCTCCAGTCGTTGAAATTGGACGAACGGACGGCTCAATTTCTGCTATCAGCGCTACATCTTTGTCTGAATGAGCTCTCATCAATGCCTTTATTAGGTGCTTCTCTTCTCCTTGCTCGCCTACTCTTCCATTTCTTTAGTTCTGTTTCGATTGAACTTCCTGCTACTGAATGCTTGTTGCTGCTAGAGAACTGTAGAGGCTAGGCTAGTGGAGTTACTTACGATTACGAGTTTTCCAGGTCTCCTTGGTTGTTCATATAGCTTCTGCTAGACATTCAGTTGCTTGCCATGTCTTGTGAAAGTATAGTTAAATATTTATCTGATATCTTGTGGCAGATATTCCTACTGCTCAGACTTCGTTGAAGAATCATTTTCCGCCTCTGAGTCCGACTCCGAGGGTCCGACTCCTTTCTCATTGTCAAGCCTTTTCAACCCCATTCACTCTTGCTGCTGATGATGCAAGACTGCTCTCGGTGTGGAAATCTTTCCTCCCGCCTCGGTCTCTAAGGGTGCACCACGCTTATCAGCCACATAAATTTCTCATCAAGGCAGTTGCGGCGACCCTCGAACCAACGAGACTGGTCCCGAGTGAAGCAGGACATGGGAATCAAGCTCAACGTGATGCACATCTGAACTTCGCTTCAACTCCTTCCACGTCTCTCGATGACTCCGACGATGCAGAAGTGGACGAGAGAGAGAGGCTGAGACGAATGAGGATCTCCAAAGCAAATAAAGGCAATGTACCTTGGAACAAGGGCAGGAAGCACAGTCCAGGTAGGTTGTCACTACAATTACAGACCATGTTATGGAATTTTTTGCTGTTAAGCAGTTAAGGTTTTCGTTCTGTAAGTTATTCATGCTGCCTAATTGACGTTAATAATTGGTCCACAGAAACCCTTCAACGCATCAGGGAGAGAACAAAGCTTGCCATGCAGAATCCTAAGGTGATGTCATGTAAGAATTTTTTTATACATTTCATGTTGCATATGATTTGAATGCAAATTAAAATGGCTTTCTACAGCATCAAAGTACCTGCTAATTTACTTTGTGTAGTTGATAAGTGATAACCCAAACTTAATGCATGGACACATAAGTAAAATCTGAACACTTGTCCAGTTGATAACTCACTCTTCATGGAAGTTATATACTGTGCTAAGGCTCAAGGCCATGTATTCCTCTTGGCAATTGGTGCCGGTTTCTTTCTCAGGCTCATGTTCAATATCCATCCAAGGGAATCTTCAGGGTGTAGATTTTTCCTTTCAGCGTCAGTTTCCCTGTTATTTATGTGTATTGATTCTTGCTTATGCCGTGGTATGATCCATGATAACTACGAAGGACCGTGGATTTGAAGGGTCAAGGGAAACAATGAAAACAACTAAGGAGTCGTTTGGAGGTTGTGATTGTTAGAGTTGTGTTTGTTAAATACATGTATTATGCACAATACAATGTTTGGAAGTGTCAAGTTGTAAAACAATGCATGTATTGTTTTGTGTAGGTCCCACCAACAATCACAAAAAATGATGCATTATACAATCTCAACTAAAAGTTGAGATTGTTGTAATTGTTCTTTTTAGATTTGTGTCCACTTTTTCTTTCCATTTATATCCCCAATATTTTTTGTTTTATACTAGAAGGTGAGGGTAAATGTGACATTTCCCTATAAAGTAACTTTATGCAAATCAATACATAAATTAGAATCTTAACAACCAAACAATGTACTGTCAAAATGCATCTATTGTATCAATGCATATATTTATATTGTAGTGATTCAGTACAATACAACGATTTAACATTCGCAACTTCCAAACGACCCCTAAAAAACATTTTAACATTCTGTACAATATACAGTTGCAGTTACACTTACAGTTCTGATAGGATTTTTTTTGTTTGGCAGATCAAAATGAAGCTTGCAAGCCTTGGGCATGCTCAGAGGTGAGTTTTATGCCACTTATTTGATCTTACAAAGATATCATATGCTCCCTACTTCTGCATACAGTGAGACACTCTCGGTTGAAAATTCCTTGATTTACATTTATGTGGTTAGTGATTATGATGGAGTCACTAGTCTTGAACTGTTAACCTTTACCTTCTTAGATCATATTAATACGTATGCATTGTCAATCATCTCGCAGCAAAGAGACAAGAGTGAAAATTGGACAAGGAGTGCGAATGGGATGGGAAAAGCGTCGCGACAAGCTGATGGTGCAGGAAACTTGTTATTTTGAATGGCAGAACTTGATTGCAGCAGCTTCAAGGATGGGATGTGTTGATGAAGAAGAGCTGCAATGGGATTCTTACAGTATCTTGAGTAAACAGCTTGAAGTTGAATGGGTGGAGAGCGTTGAGAAGCGAAGAGCAACTCCTAGGACAAAAGGCAACAAGAGGGCACCAAAATCCCTTGAGCAGAGAAGAAAGATTGCAGAAGCCATTGCTGCCAAATGGGCTGATCCTGTAAGCGCACTTATGAATCATCTCTTGTTTTTCTGTTTCTCTTGTTAGTTTGTTTTCTTTTCCCGTCCGAATGTTCATTTAGTGGACAATTAGTATCCACAGATGACTTACGGCTTGCAAGTGGATATTTCGTTGTTGTTTGAATCCAGATTTTGCATGTGTTGCCCACTTTCTTACAGTTTCTTTTTCTTTCTTGTCTAGTCATATCGAGACCGAGTTCGCTCCGGCCTGGCTAAATATCATGGTATTCCGGCAGGAACCGAGAGAAAGCCAAGGCGAAAGCCAGTTGGCAGCAGACCATCCACCAAGAGGGATAGTGCGAAAAAGAAAGCCAGTGAAACAAGCGATTCTTCTGGAAGTGATACCACAAGCTCTACACAGGTCACAAGACAGCGAAACACTACAACACCATCCTACAAGGATCCTTTGGCCAGGTCCAAGTTGCAGATGATAATGAATATCAGAGCAAAAAGAGCTGCCGTGGAAACTAAAAAAACTGAAGCGGTTGAAAGAGCAAGGTGATTGTTAAGTTGTTAGTTTGAGCAGAAGTTGTCTTCTGAAATTGGCGATTATATATATATATGTGTGTGTGTGTGTGTGTTTTTCTAACCATACAGCCACTATATAATATGCAGGTTATTAATTGCTGAAGCTGAGAAGGCTGCTAAGGTTCTCGAGGTTGCTGCAGCAGAAAGCCCGATTGCGCGAGCTTCTCTGATAGAGACCAGAAAGCTTATAGCAGAAGCAATTCAGTCTATTGAGTCGGTTGATCGAGGGGATGTTGATCTTGCAACAACTGAATTGAGCGATGAGGAGAAGGAAATTGATGCTGCTGGTCGGTTGTCAAGCTCTACCAAAGCAGAATCCAGACCACCAGTTATGGTAAATGGGGGAATCAAAACCGCCGCAACATGTGCTGAAGATGAAGAACTGATCAAGTTGAGTGAATTGGAGTTCCCTGGTAAGCGTTGCAGCCCACATCAGGGATTCGATTTGGCGAGCCTTGTGGAGAAACCAGAGCACCAGTGCCAGGGTGACCTGAACGGGAATCTCAAATCTGGAAACAATGTCCAGCCAAATGGTTCGAAAGTCGAGCTGCATAAGACTGAGGACGTGGGGGTAACAAAGAGATGGGTTCGCGGAAGACTTGTTGAAATGGTAACAGGAGGTCGGATGTAGTAGTAGTAGTAGTGGTGGAAGAGTTCATCATCGTCATAATCTATATCGTTGGCTATAATAATTTTGATCTGGTTGGTGGTGACATGCATCGTAGGAGGCATAGACACGAAATTCTGCCGTTAGCTGGAGCACTTTGTGTTTCTTCTTTCCCTTTTTGCCTTGTGCCAAACATTTGCACACTTTGATGGCAGTTTGGTGTATATTATTATTAACGATTATTAGTAGCTGCACTGACGCTGGGAAGTAGAACACCGGTGCTGCAGTTTAATGTAAGTGGGTTATGCGTCGCTTGATCTAAAAGAAAAGGAGAAGTTTTTCTTTTCCTTTACTCTTTTACCGGCAAGTCGGAGGCGGGAAACTACCAACAGCTTGCTGGGTAATCTTTGTTTTCATAACCGAACCAACACTGAATCGGAAAAGTTAGTGATTTAGCGTTTAGTGATTAATCGCTACAAAACCGTTGGTAACACCGTTCATGCATGATATTTAACATACAACACTAGTATAATACACTAATTTAATAATGAAGTTATCATTGATCATAAACAATTTCAAATTCATATCATCATCAAAATATCTAACAAATCATTCAAACTGTCTCACAAAAGAAATTACGGTGTCAGTTGATAGTGCACCACGTAAAGTCGACAACGAAGTGGAAAATGGGAAGAGGAAGTAGAAATACAATTAACAAATCATATATTTTGGTGTCAAATCTGGTTTGATGGTTTAAAGATTTTTTTTTTATTTTGCGATTAATATAGTGAACTAGTTAAATCGTAGTAGTTTATCTGATTTCATGTTGAAGTGTGAAAAAACATTTGGTACATCAATAACCGTCCGAACAATGAACTTAACCGCGATCGTAACTCATTTCCATCTGACTGTTCTATTGATTCACCCTATTGATAGATTGGGTCGGGTTTGAACGGGTGAGTCGGGTTGAAAAAAAAAAAAATTTCCACCCCCTCGTCCTCGTCCAACCACCGACGCAGCGGTTCGCAATCCAACGAATCCCAATTCGTACGCCATCCCGTCACCATCTCAAATCTGGTGGTGAGAGAGATTGCGGTTAGGCATCGGAGCTTTCCGCTGAAGAAAGAGAACCAACTAACCACCGTAGTCTCTCTCTCTCTCTCTCTCTCTCTGTCAGGCTCGCTGCCAGCCGCTGCTTCAGCTCCCTTGCTTGCTTAACAGCTTATCCCCGCCATCGCATTATTATTATTAGACCCCTTAACCCAACCCCGCTCACCGCCGATACCCCCAACTGGCAACGATGAACAGAGATTCCTCCGACGAAGACGACGATCGCGAGAGCTTCCTCGAACAGAACGACCGGAAAAATCAGCACCCTAACCCTCACCACCAACCCTCATCCTCTCCCCGCCGATCCCTTTCCTCTTCTCTACACGTCGAGGATCTCCGCACCTTCGGCAATGGCGTCCGCCGCCGCTTCTCCAATCTCAACCTCAAAAGGTACCTCTTCGCCGTCTTCCTCCCGCTCTTCATCCTCCTCCTCTACTTCTCCACCGACTTCCGCACCCTCTTCTCCTCCAAATTCCCCGTCCTCAACCTCGATCCCCTTTCCGATCGGATGCGCGAGTCCGAACTCCGCGCCCTCTACCTCCTCCGCCAGCAGCAGAACTCCCTCCTCTCCCTCTGGAACCATTCCTCCTCCAATTCTTCTTCTTCTATTCCCTCCCCGACCTTCGATTCCATCCAATCCGCCCTCCTCCCCTTGATTGCGCTCAACAAGCAGATTGAGCAAGTTCTATTGTCCCCTCACAACTCCCCGAACAACAGCACTGCCTTGTCTTCAGATTCCGATCCATCTGCCACGGCTCCTGGTCTCTTCTCCACCTGCCAGAGCATCCACCGCCGCCTGCCCGGCCGGAAAACCATGGATTGGAAGCCCCGACCCGATAAGTTCTTGTTTGCTGTTTGTTTGTCTGGGCAGATGAGTAACCACTTGATTTGCTTGGAGAAGCACATGTTCTTCGCTGCTCTGCTCAATCGGGTCTTGGTCTTCCCAAGCTCTCGATTCGATTATCACTACAGCAGGGTGTTGGATATCGACCACATTAATACTTGTCTGGGAAGCAAGCTTGTGCTCAACTTCGAAGAATTCGAGGAGATGAGGAAGAATCGCCTGCGAATTGACAAGTTCATATGTTACTTCTCATCCCCCACGCCCTGTTACGTCGACGAGGAACATGTCAAGAAGTTGAAGGCCTTGGGGATCTCTATTGGGAGTAAGCTAGAGTCTCCTTGGAAAGAGGATATCAAGAAGCCTAGTAAAAGGACTGCTCAGGAAGTTGTGGCCAAGTTCTCGTCTAACGACGATGTTATTGCCATTGGAGATGTCTTCTACGCGGATGTCGAGACTGAATGGCTGATGCAGCCCGGTGGCCCTCTTGCTCACAAATGCAAGACCTTGATCGAACCCAGTAGACTTATCACGCTCACAGCCCAGCGTTTCATCCAGACATTCTTGGGGAAGAACTTCATTGCTCTCCATTTCCGGCGGCATGGCTTTTTGAAGTTTTGGTAAGCTTACTTCCCCTGCCACATTACATGGTTATTAAGGCACAAAAGGATGTCTTCTTTTTGGCAAGTGTCTCTTCATACATAATGATGATTTTTATTCTGTCTCACGTTCAGTTACCATAACCTTGGTCTCTACATTATCTCCACCAGGGAATGTCAATATACTATAGTCAAGTTAAGCCATATGCAACATGCATCAGGTGGTGCAGGGTTGTGACGAATGAGGTCCGCAGCAAGTCAATCTTTTTTAGCAATGCCTCGAGTTTTTGAAGCTTTTGCTTTTCCTAAACATATGGCTGAAAATAATTGCTTAGTTGAATCAAGTCACTAACAAAAACTGATCCTGGTCTTTAGACTAGAGATCTTTTTGTTCCAACTTCCACGTAACTTAGATCATGCATACTAGGTTGGTAGCTTTGGTGCACAGAGATTTAATATCCCTTTCATGGGCTATGAATGCATTAGCTAGTGTGCTTTTATCTGTGGTACTGGGACTGGAAGACAGCCTAGTCTAACTTACTGTTCTTGAATAATTTTACAGTAATGCTAAAAAGCCGAGTTGCTTTTACCCGATTCCTCAAGCTGCCAGCTGCATCGCTCGCTTGATTGAAAGAGCAAATGCACCAGTTATCTATCTTTCAACTGATGCGGCAGAAAGTGAAACTAACTTGTTGCAGTCACTACTGGTTGTGAATGGGAAGACCATACCATTAGTTAAGCGACCTCCTCCTAATTCAGCTGAAAAGTGGGATGCTTTGTTGTATAGACATCACCTTGAGGATGATCCACAGGTGGGAACCTTTGCTGTTCTTCGTATGCTTCCATTGTTTTGGTTATTCTTGCTCTTTGTTTCATTCATGAGTTAGTTCTGTTCCAGAGGGTACTGTTTTCTTATCCTACACGCATGTTATTGTGAAGTTCACTTTGTGGAGCTATTTAGGCTGCATTTGTTGCTAGAAGTTAACATAAACTTAAAAAGGTTAGTTTTGATGCTAGAAGTTAGAGGCTGGCATGTATGTGTTTGGTTGGAGAAGTTGGCTATTGGATGTTCTATAAGTGGTTGCTATGTCTATATGTGGATACAAACGAAGTCCTTGGCTGATTATTCTTACTTTGAGGATGCACCAAGTGGTTTGAGGAAAGTCCCTTGCTTATGAGTGCAAAAAACAGAATGTTAGATTTCAAGCTCTTAATTGAGAAAACTGGACAGGCTCTCTCGACTCTCATGTATGTATGTGAAAAACTAGGAGACAATCTCTCTCTCATGTTTTAAGTGTACCTGCATAAGGTCCAACAATTTTCTCAGACAACCCTTTGTTAGCTTGCTTTATAGGGGCATTATTGTTCTAAGTTAATCTGTATGTAGCATCTCATCACTTGTTATATCCAATGGGTGGAGTTAGCTTTCATTGAATCTTCTTTGTAAAATTCACTTGTTATATCCAGCATATTGAAATGAGCAAAGGCATTTGTGCAGTACTGTTTAATTTCTGTTACTTGTGTTGATTTCTTAGTGAAGTGTGTATCTAGATCCATCAGTTCTCGTTCTCACTACTATCGTATCTTATCTATTTGTTTTTGTTTTTATGTGCTGGTCTGGATAGGTGGAAGCTATGCTGGATAAGAGCATATGTGCCATGTCAAGCGTGTTTATTGGAGCAGCAGGATCTACTTTCACGGAAGATATTCTAAGGCTTCGCAAGGACTGGGACTCAGCATCATCATGTGATGAATACCTGTGCCAGGGTGAGCTCCCAGACTTCAAAGCAGAAGATGAATGAAATGAAGAAGAAAAAGAAAGAAGACTTGAGGTTTGGGGATTAGGGGAGATGGATTCCTTTGCTTGCATCTATGGCTGCAGTTGGTTGGAATGGAGGGGAGCAGCAGCTGGGGAACAACGAACGATGGATTCCTTTTATCCATGTTTTATGCCGTGGAGATCCCTGCTGAGCCCAATTCTTGTGCCTGAGATAGCTGGCAAGCAACTGAGCAGCTCCAACCTTCATTCATCCATTCCTGAAGATACTTGTAAGCAAGCAGCGGTTTGTATCTTTAGTCGTTTAACTAGTATTATGCATATAGAAGTGGCTTGTTTATCGGCTCGGCTCGGCTCGTCTGTGCAGATAGGAAAGGGTGAAAAAGGAAGTGTTTTTTTAGTTTGTTTGTTGGTTTAGAAGTTGAAGAAATACATATACATCAGTGGCTGCCAGCATCCAGCCTTGTTCAGGGAATCGGAATCGCACCGGTCTCCCTGATGAACTAACTAAAGTCTAAATGCCTGTAGCTGATGAAGGCTCCGGAGCTAGACTTCTTGGCTTGGTGCATAACAGGAGAAAGACATTCGTTGGGTCGATTGATATGGAAAATAAAAAGTCCAGAAATAAACAAACTTGGGAATGAATGGCACAAATGATTACTAGCTTGTTATTTGTTGGTTGATTGCATGTAGTTCGAAAGAAAGAAGAGTTATTAGTGGAATTGATTGGAGGGAAATTGCATGTTCTTATTGCCCAGAATTGACTTGAATCGATTCGTAACAACCACCACCACATCCTAAACTAGAGATTGAGTGACGGATTCTGTGGTTCAGCAGATGTTTTGCAGGTTGGTGAGTGAGGTGTATGCAAACCTCAAGGACGTTAAATTTCCTTATGTAACACTTTAAATAAATTTTAAATCGAAAAACTATACCATAAAATTCTTAAAATGAAATGCGGGGGTTCCTTTCCTAGTTTCCTATGAAAATTCTGAAATTAAATATCCAGAAAATATGTTATCTCTAAAAAAATCATCATGATGCACCTGAAAATAAAATAAAATAAAATAAAAACCCTGACAGGGAGTGCATTTCTTCATCTATTTCCTGTTAGAAAATAGAGCATAGGGTTTAGAAATTTTGTCGACGAGCTTTATGCTTTTGATCGAAGAGAAGCAGAAGCAGAAGCAGAGGAAGGGAAAAGAAAGGAAAGGAAAGCCGGAAAGGAACCCGATCGACTTCGCTGAGTCCCGCGTCCAGGGAACGTTCGCGCCCTAAATTTCTCCATTCTATCTTCACCAATCTTGCATTGCATCCTTCTTTCCTTCCTTCCTGCCTCCCGCTTTCTTCTGTTGACGCCACTTCTGAAGCGCCATGAAAGCCAGATTGGTTGTGTTCCCGCTTCGTGGAAGGAACTGGTGCTTCTCCAGATCTCTCGACCCTTCCCTTAATCAACATTCCTCTTCATCCGGCTCCCCTTCTACGTTTCGGGATCTCTGGCGCAGCATCTCTTCGTCCGGCTCCTCCGCTCCTCGCAATGCCCAGCTCATTGTCGATTTCATCGCCAACAAGATGAACGGAGCTTGGATTGGTATGGAGAAATCGCCCGATGGCACTCTCAAGAAGAAGATTCATGGGTACCAATTATTCGCGCTTGTCTGTCTATTGTTGTTTTACTCTCCCATTACTTGTGTGGAAAACAGGTTTCATTTTCGTATCATTGTTTCTGCGCGTGAGTAGAGTAGGTTTGAAGCTACTGGCACGGGTTAAGCCTTCAGAGATTTTCTTGAAGTCCATATCCAGGGACGTCACCGGCGTTGAAATAGTATACCCCGTCAGGTACTCTACTCTATTTCTTCTTCCTTAGACCTTAGCTTGTTCCCTTTTCCAACCCAATGGTTGTTTATTGGCACGTTATAGTAATGATTCTGTCAAATTGATCATTAGAAGTAAACTTATGGTTTCGTCCTTCGCTGTCTGTTAATGCTGCTAGCTTTGTTAGAAATGCTTGAGTTTCAGAATAAGGAGTACTCATAAGAGCACTAGCTCTAGATTGTCTGTTACCATAACCAGTGTAGTCAAAATCGCGCTTTAAAGCGTAAAATCGTACGATTTTACGTTTCTAGGGTAGGAAAACGTTTCAAATCACTAATAAAATCGTATTTTACTCAAAATCGATCAAAAGCGTTAGTAGAATCGTTAAAATCGTTAAAATCGGATAAAAGCGCGCTTTCATACCGTTTTTATCCGATTCCAAGCAAAGGAGAAAATTGTCTCCGCCAAACAAAAACGACGCCATTTTGATCACTTCGGACAAAAAAAAAGGGGGTGAAAGGGGGTGGATATTAGGCTGAGGTTGCCAAACCACTCTTCCGCAATCCCTAATCCTCCATCTCCAGCACTCCTGCACACTCTGCGCCACCGCGCAGCCGACCTTACAGTGAAGTATTCGCTGCCGCTGCAAGTCCGCAACCGTCGTCGCCACCTTCTAGCGAAGCTCTAGCCCGTCTCACTCGATAGCTCCAACGCGGCAGCACCCTTCGCACTCGTCGTCACCTGTCGCCACTCGCTGGCGCCACACCATGTTAGTTTCTGTCTCTATCTTGTCATACCCCGTCGCCACTTCTCCTATGACTCCTAAATGGTGGGTAAATGTTTCTCCTTCTCAACTCTTAGTCCACCCTGAACATATAACCTAGCAGGTATTTCTAGCTAAATTACAACTCACACATTCTCAATAATTTAAACCAACCCAGCAAAATGATGGAAACTACTTATAATTTCCAATATGCGTATAACCTACTGGTTTACCTACGTATGCTACTGCTAAATTATGTATATGTGGTGTTTCTAATTGAACCTTTGAGAAACCAAGGGCAGAATGTGAAGCTAATGTTGTGAGAATTTGGTTATTAACTCGTTTGTGGGTTACAGTTTATGTTTATGAACTTATTGTTAAGATGTTATGAATTTGCTTTAATTTGGACATGAATTGCATGTATTTATTCACTTGTCTAAACTCCATGCACTCATATTTTGCATAATACATGTGGTACTTAACAGATTTTTAACTATTATACATGATGCATCAAAAACTTACGCTTTTACGCTTTGATTCGCCGCTTTTCGATTTTACCCCTTTTCCGCTTTTAGGTAGAATCGCGCTTTTGACTGCATTGACCATAACACAATGGAAACGCTTTGTGGTTCATCTGAGCATTTTAGTGTAGCCCTTAAGATGATAAACTCTCTGGGAAAGTTGGATTTTTTAGCACCAATGGGATGGGATTTCTTAGCCTCTTTGACTACAGAGTATGGGATGAGAGTTCTGGTTTTGTTGGGGACTGCTATATACCTGTTGAGGCAAGGTGGGTCTATATAAGCTCATGGCTTCGAACTTTGTATGAGTTGGCATTTAAGATGATAAAGTCTCTTTCACCAGTAGGAAGTACTCCTGTTCTACACATATTTTAGTTGAGATTGAAATGTCCAGCAAAGATCCTTCATTTGAATAATCTATTGAACTGGTTATTTTGAAGCTCAGTGATATTTGCAATGAACATGCTAAACTGACTAGAATTTTGAAGACTTAATTGTGCTTCTGTTGGTAGATGTAGTCAGAAGGGATTGTTTACTTTTCAATTGATATATCTGTATCGACTCTTTCAGTCGCACTGACTGAACTCTCCACACTATTGAGTGCGGGAAAGCTTCTCTTGATTTTAAGACAGTGCATCCAGCTATTGCTCGATCTTCTTTCCTTTTGTTTATTCAAAATTCTCAAAATCCTGATGTCTTTTTTTATGACATTCCAGCTCACCGTCAAACCAAGACTTATCAGCTTTGCTCTTTACAAAAAAATTTTATTATAAGCTGTATGCATCGTTCATTACTATAAAAAAGATGTAGATGCCAGAAGTACAATAGAACTGCATGAGACACCATCAGTTGTAATGTACCCATCTCATTTGTTATGTTTGAATCTTTTATTTCATTTATTGCAGTTTAAATGCACGGTTTGTGCGACGAAGGTTGCGCCATATTGCAGTTAGGTGAGTTTCTTGTACTCTAAATTTTTTTGATTTTCCTGTTCTCCCATTATAATTGCAGCCTCTGAATCCTCCATCGTGTATTCTTTCAAGATTTGTATCCTCCTTTTACTGTTGAGTGGTCAGGTCACCATTATCTTACCAGATTAAATGAAATAAGCATCACGTCTGCTTTACATTTTCATGTTTGGTATAAAATGTGCACTTAATCCATTATGCTTGTTGTGGGGGGGATAAACCTGCCCGTTTTATGTCACTAAATTTGCAATCAATCAAATGTGCACATGTGCACTCAATTCGTTATTCTCTTACCAGTAGATTCTCTTGCTATGAGGCTAATCTGCTGTTCTATGTCACTAAATTTTGTATTCCAATCATCAGGTACTAGTCCAGTTCAGTAGTATGTCTGAGAAGAGTTGGGAGATTTTGGTTATTTGCTTCTGTTTTGTACTCTTTTCATTTATTTATTTGCTTTGTCTATAGTTGCACAGTAAATCATCTTTGACGAGGATTTTCCTTTTTGGTGTTTTATAATCTGGTTTAAGATTATTTATGACTGCAAAATTGCGTGCCCCCAAGTAGTGGGAGTCTGGTCTTTGATGGCTCTAATGCTGTCTGATTTTCAGGGGAGCTTCAATCCACAAGAAATACTTCTATGGTTCAATAACATTACTTCCAATGACCTCTGCGTTGAGTGTACGTATGTGATTATAGTGTGGTTTCAGTACATAGTGCAGTTCAGATGTTCCTGTTATGCACTGCAATTTAGCTGTTGTTAATTGTGGAATTATTGATTTATCATTTTCTTCTATGTAATGCAGGTTTTACCTCTGCCCAATATCCCATTCTTTTGGGTCTTATTCCGAACTTATTCCCATTGGCGAGCTCTGCAGGTCTGTTAACTATTACTATATTCTCTTAGGATGAATTACAAATATTTGAAGCGAGGATTATTTCATGCATGTATAAGTAGCCTGCTTATTAGGGCTGGGCATGCGGGCGGATCATCCGCGGGTTTGGGCCGACCCATCCGCATTTGACCCGAATTTCGTTAAGTGGGTGAGTCTGTGGGTGGGTGACGGGTTGCGCTGGAAGCCATCCGCCGGGTGGTGGGTGGGTTGTGGGTGAGTGCGCGGGTGACCCGCTCAACCCAACAGCAAAAAAATCAAAGTCGTTGGCGCTAGAGAGAAAAGAGTGGAGACGTTAGATATAAACTCGGACTGCTCCTGGAGTTTGAACCCCAAAGCCAACCTTCCAAATAGAGATCCCCTCTTCTTCCCTTTACTTTTTCCTCTAATTATTGTGCCTAGATCACCGCTCTTTCCTTTGTGGAATTATTTTCCTTAGTTCCTTGCACCTAATAATCTTCTCAATCTGTAGAAAACTCTTCATAATAGAATTTCTATCCAATTTAAGAACTAATTCGACATTTTTTGCCCTATTTCAACTTCTGGTTACCCTCGATGATTCTCTTCACCTATTATCATGTCAAGTTGACTCCTTTATATTATATACATTGTGATGTGGGTGAACCCACAAACCCACCCGCATCATCCACCATCCGCCCGACCCAACCCGAGACTAAATGTGGGTGGGTGGTGGGTTAAAAATTATCAATCCGTTTAAGCGCGGGTGGGTGCATTTTATGGTCAAAATCCATCCGACCCACCCAATGCCCACCCCTACTGCTTATAGATGGGACTTGTACTCTGTGGTTAATTTGGACAAAAATTGTTTAGGAGTCGTTTCGTTTGTAATTCTCATTTTTTCTTGTATTTTCTAAAAAATAAATAGGGAAGTGAGACACTCCTTAAGCTGGTGTCCGATAGCTCATGGTCTGAAAAATGTGCGGTTCAAAATGGTGGACAAGGTCAAACTGAGAAGGGCAATGACAGCTCCAAGGACAAATCCCCTTGTTCGCAAGGTTCTCCGTGGGTGAGTCAGAATATAATTTTGGCAACGAATTCTACTGGCCTCTATATTATTTTGGCTGCAAGCTGATTGCGATCGAGTTTCCTCTGTTTGGATTATGAATAACCTTAGTTTTGCTTAATTTTAACATGTCATAATTATTTTGACGTGCATGGTTTACATTAAAGAGCATCTTGTGCTAACCAAGTGGTGATTCTGATTCAGTCTAGTCACTTGTGTTTTGGTTAGCTTGAGGACGAGCAAGGTTTCGAGCATATGATGTCTGTATACTTGAGTGTCTTTACCTAATATTTGGGATTCATTTTAGTTTGTCAGCTGAGTCGGTACTGAAAAGATGGATCGTGTTCCCGAACGAGTAATTCTGAAATGGCTTGACACCTCACAAGTTAGGATTGTGGTGGCTCTCATTGGGCAGTGCAGAATGATTTTAGAATGTTGGCATCCCTGGATCTCTCTTAGCTGTAAGCTATTTGGGTAGAGACCTCTTGAAAGCCACAGATATTATTGCTACTTGCTACTGGTTTTGGGTACGTAATAAAGTTGGCGGGGGTTGTTGCAGTAGGAAAAAAGTCACCCTATTGTCCAGCAGGCTGATGTTACATTGCATCGCTGATAAATATTCAATATATGGTGTAGTTGTCATGTCATGGTTGTTGTTTATTTATTGGCTGGCGTGCCTATGAAGCCTTGTGTTCTGGTGAATAATCGCAGGTGTTGCAGCCATCAAAGGAACTTGAGGAGATCATCATCAGGCAGCAGGAAGACGATGATGATGTTAGCGAAGCTGCAATTGCTAGTGTTTGCGAGATGTACGGACTAGACGCGAAAGATGTGTTGAAGTTTAAGGATAACATGTTGTAGTGTAGACTAGTACTATTTACTTTAAGATGCCTTCGCCTTTTCTTGTATATCTGCAGGTATCATTGAGTCCAAGTGAGTGTAGTAATAACATACATAATTAGGCGTTCTTTAGATAGGAAGCAGAGCAACATTCAGTTCTTGCTTTGTTTTATTTGACTTTCACAAAAATGCAAGCAAAGGCAGGAAGAGGAGTTTTGTTTGCGGACGAATGCTCCCGACCACTTTATCGACATTCTTCTAAGACTATACATCGTGCACTTGTCATCATCTGATTGCATCAAACTATTTCACTTAAATGTGCTGATACAATGCAATTACTTCAAGAAAGAGCTACCAATTAGCAAGAATATGTAGTTGCATGACCACAAGCTCAAGTGGTTGTAGTACAAAATTTTGAGGTTGCCCTGCTTGTCTTCCATCGCCAGGCGCTTTCAAATAGCGAATAACGTCATTTTCTCTTCATCGTTTAAAAAAAAAATATATTTTTATTATTTTTAAATTGTCACGTCACACATTTAACAGTCAACTTTTAGAGATGATCGCCACATAAGCAAAAGTTGACGGAGTTAGACGGAGAGTGACCAAAGGTTAACGGTTTCAATAAAGTGAAGTACTACCAATGAAGAATACAGTGACCTTCGGCCCGTCTAGGTGATCTCAAGGCCCAGGATATTAAAGATGGAATACTAGTGTCATATTTTGGGCCCAGTGCCTCGGGTGCTTTAAATTTTATATTGGACCTAGCTACACAACCTATTGTCTTGGTGAAAGCATTGTATATTGTATAAAGCGATTCTAGTTGCTCTGCCACCACGGTTCAAAAGAACGGTAGATACCAAAAACCAGTGAGGCTATTCTGTGTATAATAATTGCACGGACGGTTTCGTATTGAACGTGACGCCATCCATAAACATAGGATAGTATAGAAGACAAGTTGTACCGCCGTAACGAATCTTTGCATGTTTGTTGTACATATTGGTGTCAGGTGGGAGACAGAATATATATATGGGTAAAAGGACATGTACAAAACTCTTATTGCATAATTTTTTACAAGTTATTAGATCGTTCACGATGCTATATATAAAGGCTATTCCCCTTCCGCGGCGGAATGTTGAGGATAGGTTAATCTGGCATGCGACGGTGGATAGGGTTTTCACGGTTAAGTCTGCCTACCACTTGGCGGTTGACATTGACAGGAGACGGGGGGTTGGCGATCCACGGTTGGGTGGATGGATAAGCCCTCCTGGGTTCGTTTGTGAGATGCTAATATCCCTCCAAAGCTTAAAGTCTTCGTCTGGCAGATCTTCAATCGTATATTGCCTACTACGGAGGCCCTTATTGAGAAGCAGATTCCGGTGCTCCCCAGGTGTCCGGTGTGCTGGGCCAGTGCAGAAACATTGGAACATTTATTTTTAGAGTGCCCAGTTGCTCGGGCTCTTTGGGATTATTCTGGTCTGGCGTACTTAGGGGAGGGGCTCCCTCGCCATACATTCCCTTTGTTTCTGAAAAGATTAATGGCTTTGATTCACCAGCCTCCTCTGTTTATGGCTATGGTTGGCGTCCTTTGGCGATTAATCGGTTAACTGTCAGTTACTAACCGTTTAACTGTCGATTATTAATTAGCTAAATTTTTCTATCGGGAACTGACCGTTTATTATTTAATAGGTTATTGGTGTAACCGTTAACCACCGATTCCGATTCAGTTATCGTTTACACTTTACACTATTAATAAGATAACCGTTTAACAGCCCTATCCTACGCGCCAAGCGGTTGGTCGGCTGCTTTGATTCCACGGTTTGTGTTTCTATTTTTCTTGTTTTTTCCCCTTCATTTAACAGATATAATTAAGCGATCACTCATATAGACTTTGTTGAATCCACATACTCTAATGGTAATCCTTTATTTTATTAAATAATAGCTACTTTGATAATAAATTAATCAACTATTGTGTTTTTGGTATTGATAATATCATATTAATGACAAAAAAAATATGGTAAAAATCTTAAAATTACATAAAAATGTTCATCTTAATTAATTATGACTATCAATATAAAAATTATCAACAAATATTGTAAATAAAGTTATGAGATCTACTAGGAAAACTAGATTCATGGAAAAACAACACATGAGGGTTTGGCATTTAACCTTCCCCATTGTGACATTTCCACTACTTTTTGTAGGGTTGGAATGCTAGAAATAGCTATGAGGAGCTTTTGGCACTACCATTTTGAATGGTCTTAAACTCCACTCATTTAGGACCAATTAAAATTTCACTTTTTTAATGAACTATTCATTTAGTTTGGTTATATTTCTTTCATTTCAATTTTAGATTTTACATAAAATAATTATGATATATGTAATAATATACACATTTTTCGTGGGGTGAGGGGGGGGGGGGGGGGGAGTGGAGTGTCAAAACAAGTGAGTACTAACAATCATAGTAAACCTATGGTAAAACTAATGTATCATCATCATATTAGCTTGTACGATCAACATACCACAACCTTATGATAGTATCGTATTAATGGGTCAATCATGATGTACTAAAGTTATTCTAAAACATATGAAAATGGATATCATCTTATATAATATAATTAATCCGATTTTTTAGTGCATAATATTTTGTAATCAATTTTGAAAGAAATGAGATTCAGTTGGCTGAAGATTCAAGAAGGTTGAAAGAAAATCTCTTAAATGCCACCTTAGAATTAATCTACCCCAATTGTCAATAAGAGGTTGAATAATTATAATTAATTAATTAATTATAGTTATACACCATACCCTATCTCAGAATATGCATCCAAACCCATAATGATTAGGATTTTGTTGTACTGATTTGATTTAAATTCCATATAAAATATTAGGATTATAGATATATATGATTTCCTATTTTATCAAATTTTTGTCTTTCTATTTTTACATCAAACGTATTCTTGTACATTAAAAAATTATCAAACTTAGCCTTCAGTTATGATTTTCATCCAAAAATATTAACCACGGTCAAATTGTACTTCAAACGATCTGACCTTAACAAATGGAAGGGAAAATGTCATTTTTACCCCTCCTTTTATTTCTCTAAGTGCCATCAAAAGTAAAATTATTAGGGCTACTGGACTATACAATAGAAACTCGAAAAATATTAAAGTGAAATTATTTGTGATATTTTAGAAATTTATATCGCTCAAATCACGGTTTGATCGTGGTTGATAGTGTCTGGATGTAAATTTTACCATAATAACATGTTTGATAAAAATTTTAAAGTACATGAATATATTTGATGTAAAAAAAATAGATGTGCATGTTTGATAAAAATACTTAGCATAAATGCAATCAATATATATAACCAAACTAAAAGTTGTGTATACTCTTTCCAACGTATTTTTGTCGTTGGTGAACAAAATTGTCGGAAGCCTAGAGAAACACACACCAATCAACCTAAAATCACAAAAGTTTAGGTCAACTTTCATCTGCAGTACTATAAAATAGAGCTACGAATTTTTGTTCGTTAAGCCAGTTCCATGAAAACCAATCAATTTGGAATGGAAACACGATTATTTAATTGTTATAAATAACTGAAAAGCACATAACATAATATTGTCATTATATCGGTGGACCGCCACCACATGCTCAATCAATCCACCGAACCCGACTTCCACGTAAATTTGTATTTGAAGCTTCACCAAATCAGCATACTACACATACCTAAATTATTTACCCAAGTGTCACTTTTTTCACTCACAAACGTACTATATATACACGTTATTTTGCACTTCCCCGTCTACAAGCTAAGCCATATTATCATCTGAGCCTTCAAAAGATGAATCACCACCACCCACACAAACCATCACCGTTGACCATTTCCACAATATGTTTTTCCGTATCAGTCCTAATAATCCGCACTGTGGCCGCCGCTGCCGTTGACGACCACCACGCCGTTCTCCGATCAGCTTGCGGCGCCGCCAGGTTCCCGGACCTCTGCTTCTCCGCGGTGGCAACCCTCCCCGCCGAAACTCTGTCGTCCCAAAACGACGTCATCGAGGCGTCCATCAACGTCACCTGCAGCGTCGTGGAGCGCAACTTCTTCACCGTCGAGAAGATGATCAGGGCCCTCAACCCGACGGCGACCAAGCGGCAGAAGACGGCGCTGCACGACTGCCTGGCGACCATCGACCAGACGCTGGACGAGCTCCACGCGTCGCTCCGGGACCTGAAGCAGTACAATTATCGGGACAATAGGCAGAAGAAGAAGCTGCTGCTGACTCGACATACCGCCAACCTCATGACGTGGCTCAGCGCGGCCATGACCAACCAGGAAACTTGCCTGGATGGCTTCTCTCACGGACGCGCCGACAGGCGCGTCCGTGAAGGCCTGGTCAAGGGCCACGTCCACGTGGGACACATGTGCAGCAACTCGCTCGCCATGATCGCCAACATGACCGCTGGCAAGACCGGCGCGCGTCCGTGAAGGCCTGGTCAAGGGCCACGTCCACGTGGGACACATGTGCAGCAACTCGCTCGCCATGATCGCCAACATGACCGCTGGCAAGACCGGGACCGGCAGCCAGAAGGCTGCCGGCCCGGCTGAGTGGTTGTCGGCGGGGGACAGGAGGCTCTTGCAGTCCTCCGAGGTAATTAATTAATAATTTGGTCCTATACTTTTTTTTTTTCTTTCAATGTGAATGTTCCAAATTCGAATTACTTTAATCACTTAATAACAAAAGTTAACTGATATCATAAAATTTGTGACCTATGCTTTGTTAATTAGGAAACAAAAAACATGTATTTTCATCGCTACTAGTCATTGTTCATGTGATTGCATGGCGGCAGGATATCACGCCGGACGTGGTGGTGGCGGCGGACGGGAGCGGGGACTATGCGACGGTAGGGGCGGCGGTGGCGGCGGCGCCGAGTAAGAGCAGCAAGAGGTACATAATAAGGATAAAGGCGGGGGTGTATAAGGAGAATGTGGAGGTGGGGAAGGGGAAGACCAACATTATGTTCGTCGGAGACAACAAGGAAACCACCATTATCACCGGCAGCAGGAGCGTCGGCGATGGCTTCACCACTTTCAGTTCTGCTACTGTCGGTAATTACCTAATTATCTCTTTCCATCCGTGCCAACATGAGGTTTGGGGGCCATCGGTGCTAGCTTATAATTAATTAATATACGTATGCTCGTTTTGGTAAGGCATTATGATCATCACTAGTTTTGCTCACCCCTAGCAATAACCTCGCAAGATCATCATTATTAGTGTTCGATGCTGCTAATCTGATCACTTGTACTACACACCTGTAGGCAATTGAACTCAAACTCTCAGGTGGATAATCGGGTGAAAGTAGGTAAAACTCAATGTTAGATAGGTTTTGGGTCATATACTAGTTTTTATCTACTTTTGAAATTGGTGGGTAAGGGTTGGATTTGGATTTTGGCAAAACTCAACTCGCATACATAAGAGCAAACGAGATCATTTGGTATCTAATCGAAACAATATGAATATTTTGTGGATTATATTAGTCTTTATGATAATATAAACCTAATAATCTGAATAATTTATGGAAACATGGAGTTTTATGGAAATTTTTTATAGCATTATAATGTGAGTGTTCGGAGATATATGAATATATTTGTCAATCCATTAGATATTCATTGAATTGACTTGGATTTTCATTTATAAAACCAAACCAATATTTTTACTAGGATTTTTAATGAGCGCGCTTATTGAATTGTGTCTGGTTTTAGAGAAACTCGACTTTCCTTCACCCAACCCAATCGATTGCCATTCCTAGTCTCTATTGCAGCCGTAGTTATTAGGTAGCTAGGGTAGACAAGATGTTATCTTATCTCATGTGTCCTAACTTTATCAGCATTGAGTGCATGGTTGAATCTGATTCGGCGAACATGTTCAACCCTATATTTCCCAACACCTGTCTTTTTCACCGACCGGTTCGAATCTGTACTATGATCGTTACGCAGAACGCATGTTCTTCTTTTCTAAAGTTCCGGATGTGAATTGGTCCCTGAAAAAACAATCGCTGAACATAGGGGTGGGCATCCGGTTCGGTAAACCCGAACCGAACTGAAACCGAACAAAACCGAACCGAAACCGAATAGCATAGTTTCGGTTCGGAATTCGGAAGGCAAATCCCTACATTTCGGAAATCAGGGTATGCTCAACCGAAACCGAAATCCGATTAACCGACCGAAAAACCGAAATAAGTAAAGGAGACTACAAACTAAGCAAGCCCAGTACTTACATAGCCCAACTAACAGCCCAAAACCAAATGATTGCCCAGCCCAACCTTTCTAAACCCTAACAATGCAGCCGATTTTCTTCAGTCTTCTCTCTTCGGCAGTCTCCGCCAACGGCACCGCTTTCATCTCTAGTCTTCGTCCACCATAGAGCAACCAACGAGAAAAAGAAACCAGGCGTAGTCGCCGCCGTCAGCCATTCTCCTCCTTCCCCTACCTCTTGGCTCTCCCTCTTCGACGACCGACGCCATGCATCAAGCCACCACCTCCACCGTCTTCTCCATCATGATCTCCCACTTCCTTCACCGCCGAGTTAACCTTCATCATTGAAGTTATCTCCACCTGAATCAAAAACAGAGGCGATGACACTGAATCTCGAAGGAGAATACAAACCCAAAAAATGTCATGCATGCTTGGATTTGAACTCGTATGAACCTTCGTCATTGAAATTATCACCATCACCGCCGTCAATCGCTTCCGGCCGCCGTCCTTAGACTGGAGGCGGAGATCTCTACCGACGCTGTCGCGGCAGCTGCGTTGTGCTCGCCGTCGTCCGTCGCCGCCAGCTCGTTAATTGGTTGGAGGGAGAGAGAGGGGGGAAGATCAGAGGATTCAGCTGCGTTGTGCTCGCCATCGCCGGTCGTCGCCGCCGTGTTAGTTGGTTGGAGGGAGAGAGAGGGTGGAAGATAGGAGGAGTCAGGGAGAAGTGAGAGGGCGGAAGAGAGAGAGTCAGGGAGAAGTGTAAAGATAGGGTAGAGAGGGAGAAGGGGCTCGTTTGAGATAAGGTGAGCATTTCGGTTTTGGGCAGTCGAACCGAACCGAACCGAATTATAGCTCGGTTCGAATTCGGTTGGGGTGCTGGGTACTTCGGAAATTCGGGATGTCCTGGTTCGGTTCGGTTCAAACCGAACCGACCGAACGCCCACCCCTAGCTGAACAGTCTCTTCGATGTTGACGAACAGCATCATTCTCAACTTTTTCCAACCGTACATTCGTTTTCAAATTTTGTGCATTCCAATCCCTTCTCCAACACTCAAGTCCTATGTCTGCAAGTCCATCAATACCGTCAAAATCAAAATCATAATTCTATGTACAAGTATTTTAGTTATCTAGAAGCGTAAATATATAAATTTTTAATCTCTAATGATATGCGCTTCAATCATTTGCAGCGGTGGTGGGGCAAGGGTTTCTGGCACGTGACATAACGTTCCAGAACACGGCGGGACCCTCCAAGCACCAGGCGGTGGCGCTCCGAGTCGGCTCCGACCTGTCAGCATTCTACCGGTGCAACATCCTGGCGTACCAGGACACCCTGTACGTCCACTCCAACCGCCAGTTCTTCACCAGCTGCCTCGTCTCGGGGACCGTCGACTTCATCTTCGGCAACGCCGCGGTCGTCCTCCAGGACTGCGACATCCGGGCCCGCCGGCCCGACCGGGCCCAGAAGAACATGGTCACGGCCCAGGGGCGGACCGACCCGAACCAGAACACGGGCATCGTCATCCAGAAGTCCACCATCGGTGCGGCCTCGGACCTGCAGGCCGCACCGAAGGGGAGCTACCCGACGTATCTGGGGAGACCGTGGAAGGAGTACTCGAGGACGGTGGTCATGGAGTCGACCATAACCGACGTGGTTGACCCGGCCGGTTGGTTCGAGTGGGACGGTGACTTCGCGCTGGACACGCTGTACTACGCGGAGTATAGGAACGGTGGGGCCGGGGCGGATACGTCGGGTCGGGTTGATTGGAAGGGTTACAAGGTGATTACCGATGAATCGGAGGCGGCGGGATTTGCGCCGGGGAATTTTGTTGCCGGAGGGAGCTGGTTGCCTGGAACCAACTTCCCTTATTCGCTCGGTCTGTGAGTCCATTCAATATTATATAGGGAACATTAATTTGGCATGTATGGTATTGGTATAGCTCTTGGCCGGTTGATTTCATAAATAATAAATAAATAAAACAGCAATGAGTATGAGTGGTTCCCTTACAAAGAGCTGGTGCATGTGCATGCTAAGAATTGTGTAAGTTGTGTGTTGCCAGTTTAGAGGATCACAAGTCACAACTGTGTCTTTTTCAGTTTTTCCCTTGTCATGTACGTCTTCTATTTCCAAAAGTCTGATTGATTATTTGAAATTGGAGCTGATTTTGAGAAAATAGTTTCGTCGTTGATCATGTGATTTGTACACCCGCTATCGGCAATAAGTCTTGTTGTTGAGTTTCTGCGACGTGACATGCTGAAAGAATAACTTATTTATGGTGCTTTTTCTGTGAGGTTGGCATGTCATTGAAAAAAAAATTATGAAACTATTGTGTGTATGAAGGTGAACAACCTTCTTTTTTGGCAAAATACACCTGTATAGCCATAACTTTCACGTTTTTGACAAATATAGCCATTTCTATTCGAAAACACGAAATAGCCCAAAAAACGGAGGGTAGTGTGACAAATCTAGCCAAAACCGTCAGAAACTTTAACACCGTCTGCGACTCCGTTAAATCGTTTGACGGAATGCTGACGAGGATGCCAAATCATCGCACACGTCAGCGACAACTCAACCACACTTGCCACGTAAGTGTCATGTCATATTTTAATTTAAAAATAAATAAATTAATTATCTATTTAAAAAAATAAAAAAACAATCACATGAGATGAGGCCTGCTCCTTCCCCTCTATCCCTCTGTCGAACTCTTCTCCCTCTCCTCCTCTCCTTCCTTACTCTCCGGTCTCCACCTTCCACCACCAACCCCAACTCCAAACCCATATCATCTCCTCACACTCCGTCACTCCACCTTCCACCACCGACCCTGCTGACACCAGTTCTTCCTCCCAATCCACCCAGATCTAAAACTTCACTCGATTTTTGTTTTGATTTTGCAAAGCTTCAAAACCGGCGAGAATTGGGAAAATCGCAGATCTGCGACCGGAGAAGAGTGGACGATGTGCTTGCGACGAACACGAAGAAAAGAGGGGGATGGGGGCGACTGGGAGATGCAGCCGTCGATTGACGATGGCGACGACGACGGGTCGGCGGCTCCTCGACAATGGTATCGAGCAATGGAGATGGGCGCTGGAGGCGGAAGAGAGAGGAGAGCCTGCTTGCCTCCCAAAAAATTGTTGCTGCCTACCTCCCAAAAAATCCTCAATTACATGACCTCTGAAATTCCATAAGAAAGGGATGGGGATGGGCGGAAGAGAGAGGAGAGCCGCAAAAGCCAACCACAACCGCCTGTCATCGATCTCATCATGGAGCGGGAGGCTTGTGTGTTGCTACTTGTTGCAGTTGAGGCTGATCCGACGGCGGCGGCATGGGGAGAGATCGATGTGGGACTGGGGGTGGTGGTGGGGTAAGGGTTGCGGCGGATTTTGGTGCGCGGCGGGGTGGGAAGGAGGCCGCGGCGGTTGGTGAAAGGGTCGCGGAGGCATTCCTGTGGGCTGAGAACGGCTATTGCCATCGCGGTGGCTGGAGTTTCTACGAGAGGAGACAGAGAAGGCTCTGGATTTTAACGGAGAGAGGAAGGCAGAGTTTGAACGGAGAGAGGGGATGGAGGATTTGGAGTCGGTAGGTCGAGGGAAAAGAGGTCGAGATCGGGTGGGTCGAAGAGGAGCAGGTCGTCGAAGCGGAAGGAGGTGTCGGAGTGCGTCCGACGGTGATGGTAGCCCCGTTGTGGGGTTTCCGGGAAGGAGCAGGGGGGCGAAAAATGGTTGGGGTACAGGGAGGAAGGTGAAGATTTTTGTATAAATAATTTTATTTTTATTTTTCATCTAATGAACTCGGAAAATTGAATTTATGTTTTGTATTTTTTTTTGTTAATCCACGTGTCCGACGAAGTATTGCTAGGTCAGCATTTCCGTTAGTCTAGTCAGAGTGTTAAGTAACACCGTTAAAGGGATGGACGGAATTGGCTATTTTTTGTTTTCGAAAAGATATGGCTATATTTGTCAAAAACGTAAAACTTATGGCTATACAAGTGTATTTTACCTTTTTTTTTTCATCTTCCTCACGCTACTTTTGTAAAGCACCAGTAAGATGTTGGTAGTATTTGAGAGCCTCCTAACCTTTTTGAAAAAGGCTTTCATTTTTAGGACTCAATATTCATAATTCTCTCCATAAAAGTAAGATAATACACATGTGCCTTTTTTTTTTTTGTATTTTAACTAAGATTATTCGAGGTAGAGAGGTTTGCCTTTCACACATACAAAAAGTGACCTTTTGTGATGGAACTTAAGCTCAGTTTTCTACAACGGAATTCCTATAACCATCGCAAAATTCATCGGTATATGTTTCTGGGACGAAAACATGTATATGTTTCCTGTAGTTTTAGAAGGGAGATAATTTTAGCAAAAATAAAAATTGCCCCAGAAAAATCTTAGTGCTTTGAAGTTACATTGCAATAATTAATTTAAGTAGGTATCCAATTAAGTTAGTGGCAAGGTTGTCAACTCGCGGGTTGACCCGGACCCGGTTGAGCTAGTGGGTCAAGGGTTAATGGGTCACCCGGTTTAGCCCGAAAATATGGAAAGCGTTATTATATTGTACTTATCCTGATAAGTTATATCAAATCTCATCTAACATACGAGTTATAACATATAATATTACACCAAAATAACATTTCGTACTTAGATTCAACATATAGTGAAAATTTACACACACTTATATAACATTAATATTCAAATGTTCAACTTAGGATTCCAAAGATTGAGTTAGGCGAAAAGAAAAATCGAAAAATAGGCGCATTTCGCAAAACAAAGAAAAAACGGACACAATTTGACCTCCAACCCAGTACTTTGTAGCGGTCGACCCGACGGGTGCGTGCGACCCATTTTTCTCACCGGGTCAGGGTCAAAGTGGGTCAACCCGCGGGTCGACCCGCGGGTTGACAACCTTGGTTAGTGGCGAACAGTATAAATTTCCTGAATTCTCCAAGGGGCCCATAGATTTAGGCAACTCCTTGTTTTGGCCAGTAATATGTGTTGTAAAGCGACGACTCATATCCACATTCACACTCTGTTTGGGAAGAGGGGTAAATGGGAGGAGGGTGCAAATGTGAGGGGTAAATACAGTTTCCAACACATTTGCACCTGTTTGGTTAATTTGGAACAGTAGGGGGGTGCAAAACGGGAGTGCAAATTTACTGTTTCGGCTTACCCCCCAAATTGGGGTGCAAGGGAAGGAAGGAAGAGAGGGGGAGAGGGAATTATGAAATTTTGTTTTTTTAATTGTGTTATATATAATTATATAATAATTAATATTATCAATTTCTTCTTTTTATAAATATCATTAATGTAAACATTATTCGGGGTTGACCATTTGACTCGGGAAACAAGTTTATCAATGTTCGTCAAGTCAAATCTAGATCTCTTGGTTGAATCGAATTTGCATTGAAAATTAGAGATACGAGGTGTTTGTGAAAAAGATAGAGAGAAATTGTTTGGTTAACTCAGTTTATTTGAATAAATAGTTAAAACTTACAAATTCGAACGTGTTTGACTAAGTTTGACAATTTAAAATTAAACTAGACACGAAAACCCTATATAGGATGACGAGTTACAAGTTGAGCTTCGAGTTTTGAGATCGCTCGATCAATGATTATACAATTGTCATAATTAATTATTATTTGAGCATTATTATATAATAACTATTTTTAGTAAAGTATATTTATTATTATATAATAATATTTATTTTATTATTTTATGATAATATTTTAAAATTTTAAAATATATTTTGTAATCTAAAATTTATTTTTAAAATCTATTTTAAAATAATATAATTACTTACTTTTCACTCTATTTGCACCCCCCTACTTTTTCATCCAAACAACAATTTACCCCTCCACTTACACCCCCCAGCAATTTGCACCCCCAACAATTTACCCCTCAACTTGCACCCTCCTGCAATTTGCACCCCTTGTTGCCAAACAGAGCGTCAAACATTAAGTATTCCGTACTTCGTCTTTTTCATCCCTGCGAGCGAACATGGCGTTTGGGGGCCACCGATGCTATCTTATAATTAATATACGCTCCTTTTGGTTAGTCATTATCGTCACTAGTGCTAAATGCTACTCACCCATTGCAATAAACCTCACAAGATTATCAAGACTACTGTCCGTCGCTGTATACAAACTGCGTACGCATACCAGCCTTAATTAGACAGCCATAGTAGATCTGAGAGAGCAATCGGATATTGTACCGTCATTGTTTTTTTTTTTTTTTTTTAAAGTTGTACGATTAGATTTCTAACACAAATTACAATTCGTAATTGACATGGTGCTAACGGATTCCTAGATTTGATGCTATGTTGTGAGATATCTCATAAGTCATATGCATGTCCTAACTTTATCAATAGCTAGCCGTAAATAGGCAACCAAAGTATCGAGGGACCCCATTTTGTATCGTCGTTGTTTTCTTAATTATTGGACTACACTTCTGACGCAAATTACTGCAACTCATGATTAACACAGTGGTAATCTCTTGTAATTAGCAAGTCGGCCGATCCAAAGATTTGATTTGATGCATGATATCTCATATGCATTCATGTCCTAACTTTATGGGTAGCTATAGGAGCATGGGTTGAAGCCTACAATTCCTTTTCCAGCACTGGTCTTCTATGTCTTCTTTCCTAAAAAGTTCCGGATGAGAAATGGCCGATGAACGGTCTCTTCCATCGTTACTGTCCACTGGATGTTTGTCGTCCTCTCAGGCTACCCAGCTCAGCTGGAAATGGAATGAATGTCATTAAGGACTTTTTTCCGAGAGTAAATGCGTTTTCACATTTTTGTCTGTGCTGAAAAGGCCTTCAGGCTTCAACCTTCATCACTCAACTCCTGTGCCGACACGTCAACCGTATGCTAGCTGGTTGAACTAATAATCAATATTTCATTTAATATTCATAACTAACATTTTTCAAATAATTCGAGTTAAGAGGAGCAAGTGATTTGTTTGTTAACACTACAAAATTGAGAAGCTTTGGGGGCAATAATAGGAGACAAGTAGTTTAGTTTGTCTTCGGAGATACAAATCTAAGTGGTATTGGGGACAATTGCATCAAGTCGTCGCCATATGTGGAAGAGGCCGGAAATGAGCTCTATTTTGTCGTCCCTAGAGAAATTTATACATTGTGGGCCTAAAACTTAAGAATATAAAATTAAGTTATTGATACGCGCATCAACCACCTTAAATTAAAAATTCCTTTTATCTTCCAAATCACTTCCATTGGGCCGTCAGGCTGCCCAGCCACTTTTACTCAATGAGCTTCGGTTCCATTAAAAATGCCTTTGATTCTCAAGAATTGGTCGTCCCCAGTTCAAAAGGAAAAACCCGAGACCCAAATGCTTCTCTTTTCTCTGTATTTATCAAGAATTGATAGTACCTTATCCATAGTTTGACCAGAAAAATCTTATATCAAAAATAAAATTGGTAGGCAATATTTAATGGTATGAAACAATTAAACTACAGTTAAATCACGAATTCAACATAAAATACCCTTTCGGTAATTTTCTTAGTACAACATGTGGTAGGATCTTTCAATTTTTGGTATTTACTTTCAAGTTGTCCCGATTCAATTTGTAATTGTATTCCTTTTCATTTTCTTGTTTGGCGTGAGTATTGGTCCGATTATAAATAAGGATTGTTGTTATTATGTGAACCATTCATTCAAAAGCCTGCAAAATAATTTCACGTGAGATTTTGTGCTCAATCGGTGCTCCAGATTGCTCAATGTTAAATTTCATAATTGTAGGTATCATTATGTAATATTTCAATCCTATATAAGTTTTACTTTGTTTGTAATTAAGGTACTACTTAAAAGATTCGAACCTGAGACCCTAGGTTCTAGACTAGAGGTATAATTATTAGACCAATCTCTTGTTCGTTGTGATCTCACTTGTTTCACAAGCTAGTGGTTCCCGAGTTGTTTACGTAGAAGGAAACCCTTCTCCGGCCTAGAGTCCGGGTGATCTCATCCACCTAGGTTTAGGGATTGCTCATGTATTTAACCCTTGCTCCCAGTGTCGTTCGAGCAAGCCAACAGTCAATCAATAAAATCTCCGTCTGTGGGCTCTTTCGAGCTCAATGTGTACTAGTTTTGTTCACATGGAACAGAGATATCATGTAAATCCTTGTGTTGTGTGATTGTCTTCTTTCCGCATTTGGTTTTATTTACATTCAAAAGCGTGAAAAATAATTTCATGTGATATTTTGTGCTCAATCATGCTCAATAGGTGCTCTACATTGGGTTATAGTTTTCAGTTGCTTTTCTTCACGAAGTTATCATTTTAGAATTTGTCTCGTGGCACACCCAAGTAATTGCATCGTGATGGCACTATGCAAACTAGAGATGATATTTCCTCCTTCATTCTTTGATGTCATGGTACATTTGTGCATTCACTTGCATATGGAGGCTATGATTATTGGACCAGTTCAAACAAGGTGGATGTACCACCCAGTGGAAGGATTCTTGCACACCCTTAAGTCTTATGTTCGTAATAAAGCACATCCAGAGGCTTCTATAGGAGAAGAATATCTAGGTGATGATTGTTTGAGATTTTATTCAAGATATCTTGATGGGGTTGACATGAAGTTTAATAGGCCCCAAAGAAACAATGACGACAATGAAATTTCGAGCTGAAATGGGGAAATGGATATATTTGATGATGTAGGTTGTCCATTGGGGAAAGATGTCATCCAAGATGTTCGAAGTTTACTCGCTCTGTTAAAAAACAATATGTGCGTCAGGTTGTACGACATGACACGTATAACTTGGGAGATTGTGCCCTCAGGCCTCAGGTGTGCAGTAAGTGGATTCTCTTAAGACCGAAAGACATGACCTGGATTGTGGCAAGGATACATGACTAGGATAATTTTGAGAATGAATACTAATATGACATTTTTGCCTGACAATGAAGATGAGGATAATGATGATTGATCTTTTATCATTCCAAAATGTTATCTTTTGTAAAAAAATTAGTTTTTTTGTTATGGACGAGTACTTGCTGTAATAGTCAATCCTATTTAAAATTTTAATATGTTCATGTCCAATTTTTGGCGGTCAGATGATTTCACTTTGGAGCCAAAATTTTACGGGGTGTATTGCCGAAGCCTTAGCCACGATTCTCAAACTGATTTCCTTTCCTTAATATCTTCTCAGTCCACGATTATCTTTTTCTTTATTTCTATTGTTTTGGGAATAGCCTATTAATTTCAATTTTAATAAATCAATTGATTCTGTAGAACTTGTTTGTTAGCATGTACAGAGAGGCATTATCCTAACTAAAAAAAACAATACTCCTAATAAATAATAATCTAAGCTAGGCGTCCCTCCCTCCCAAAGACAATTTCCTTTCCGTTCCTGTTTTCTCATCCGTCCCGAAAATCTCCATTAGCAAGATTGCCCAACTGATTTCCTTTCTTTTTGCTAGAATAAAATCCCTTAATTGAATCGTTGCGATGTTTTATATGGACTATCCCCAGAGACTCTCCCTCAATGATTTTAGATTTCCTCGCTCGTGGTTCTTCTCCCAAGCGGTCGACTGAATTTGCCTAACTTGCTTCCTCGTAAGATGATCTCTTCCGATTTTCTTATTCTCTTTCTCGGTTTTAAGTTTCCCAAGGTGTTCCCCTGTTTTCTTTATTTTAATTTCGACTTTCTTACCATCCCCTGCTTCTCTATATCGGTTGCAAAGTTATGTAGATTGTATGATCTGTTATTTGATGATATGTTCCTACGAAATTATATACAGAAAATTATATTCGCCCTAAACCAAAATAACAAGTTGTTTTGCCTCTTGTTGCCACTGGCCAGTTTGGTGCAGCTTGGGGAGCTCTAACATGCTTTGATGTTGTTCCTCCCCCTCTCCTGCCAATCTTTATTTCGGATACCATGTGCGATTGCTTTCTTATAGTCACCTGCTAATCATTTATTGATGTTGTTCTCTTCTCCCATTCACTCTAACCTCGATAGTAAATCTTTTTGCAGCAATGAACAAAAGAGCAAAACCTACTACGTCCTGCACTCATATGTAAAGAAACAAAATAACAACATACTTCGGCGTGCGAATAAGAAACTAGCTGCACCAATCAGGCAGATTTCGAACTAAAAAAAGGAAAAATAGGTACTTTCTTAATTTTTAATGTTGTCTCTCTTTTATTTGTACTACTACTTTTACTTTCTTAGTTATTGAATTGATTGTCGTTTTTTGTTTTTGGGTAATATAATTGATTGTCGTTTAGAAGCTTAACTTATAAATTTGTGTATTTACCAATTCAGGAGCTAAGAGGAGAAGGAAGAACTGATCAGGACATGCATGGTGTGGGATGGAGAGATAATAGTACTTTTTTTGTTTTGTTATAGAGATAGTATAAAAATTATGAATTCGAACTTGTCATCTTTTTTTTTTTTTTTTTTTCTACTTTCACTAAAGAATGTCTTTCAGAATGTTGGTTTTCATAGTCTTTGATTGGGATGAAATTGTAGTAGTTTTGTTTCAATTTTGACGGAAATGATTTTATGATATTTTGCTATATTGGCGAGGGGACATATGATTATCCCCACAACTTTCAAATGTGACAATCTCTTATTCCTAAAGATTAGTGACAATTAGTCATCCCGAAAGACAAAGATTAAAGACAACTAGTTGTCCCTATTAATTAAATAGGTGACAATTAGGGATCCCTGGAAATTTAGGTTAAGGGACAATTTATCATCCTTATAAGTGATGCAGGTAACAATTAGTTGTCCCCAAAGACATGTGCTAAGGGACAACAAGTCGTTCATACAAATTACATAGGAGACAATTCGTTTTTCCAGAAGGTGCATAAGTGACAACTCCTCGTCCCCAAATACACAAGTTAAAGGACAATTGGTCATCCTTAAAATTCATAGAGGACAACTTGTCGTCTCCAAAGATATAGCATAAGAGACAACTCGTAGTCCTTAAATAAACCTTTTGGAGACGATTTTTGGACTCCAATTCGATACCTACAGGAACAACATGTCGACCCTATAACAAGAAAAGGGGATGACATATTATCCTCTAATAGGCCCAACACAATCAGGAAATCGATTATGTGGGACAACAGTTTGTCCCTGGAAATGATGTTTAGGGGACGACTTATTGTCGCTAAAGTTAGAGCTATAGAGACGACATGTTGTCTTTCATTGAAAAAAATGAGACGACGACTTGTGAGTATTGGGGACGACTGTCGTCCCTAGTATTAGGGACGACATAGATTTTTGTCGTCCCCAAAAGAATAGAGGACAAGAGTATAGGGAACCACAGATTGGGGATGACTAAATCGTCCCCAAAAACTATAGGGACGATTTTTTCTATTTCCGGGGACGATTTTTGTCGTCCCCTAACCTCCTCTTTTTTGTAATGTAACATGCACTACAGGAAAACTGGTTTATAGTCACGGGATCTTATTCACGGTAATTTTTCCTGTGTTAAGAAGTATGCTAATAATCACGGTAAAAATTCCCGTATTTGACTGTATAATTCTAATCACGGTAAATAATTTACCTAATTTTTAATCTTCATTTACCGTGATTAATTGTTGGTTACGGTTAATTTCCGTGGACAATGTGACAATTTAATTTTAAAAAATAAATTATTCCAAAGGAGGGTAAATTTCATTTACCTCCAAAATTTACTTTGGCTCCAAAATGTTGCTTTGGCTTCAGAAGATTTAATTCCCCCCAAAAAAGTTTGGTTTGGCTCCAAAATTTGGCTTTGTCCCGCCACTTTTTTGGTATCCTGAAATTGAAACAATGTAGCACATATGGTACTGGCGGGAGACGGAAAACTAGATCTAAACGAAAATAAAGAACGCCAATCACTTCCCCTTTTGGCTCTTTCTTCTGTTCCACCGCTCATCCTGGGAAAAAATCCCACTATACACATGTTTTTAAAAAAAATTCTCAAAATACACATGTTATGAAAAAAATTCCCAATCTACGCATGTTTGGGCCTTCACCGCGTCTGACAAAGGCGGTGATTGAATCACCGCGTTAGACGAAAACGGTGATTGCATCACTGCCTTAGACAAAAACGGTGATTGCATCACCGCTGTAGAGAAACGCGAAAACGGTGAAGGCCTGGTGAAGGCCTGACCTACGTCAAATCTTTAAAAAAACGTAACTTTTTGCTCGGTTATCCGATCGTGATGAAATTTTTTTTGATTCCGCATAATTTTTCGAGATCCTGCTGCCAAAACCCTATTTTCTTAGCCAGTCAGATAGATCCATCCGATGCCCTCTTCCAGCGCAAATCATATCAATGAAGAAGCATGCTCTTCAAGGGGGTTTAGGGTCAGGGTTCCAAGGTGGGCTGGTGGCGCAGCTGTAGCGGAGCGAGCTGTGCGGCGACGCGATGGTTGCTGACTTGCTGTGACAGATCGATCGACGACGGCATAGCCCAGAGGGGGAGTAAGAAGAGGTATGTAGATGCGGCGGCCTGGTGTTGCGGTGGTCGGACGGCAGTGAGAGGAGAGACGTGGAGGTGATCTGGTGGTGGTGGTTCTCGCCGGCTTCTGAGACTTAGGGTTCTTGAGCTGTAAAAAGAGGTATGTAATTTGGAAAGAATTTTCTGTATTTGATGAAGTATAATGTTGTAAAGTTGGATGTAATTGAGCTTGACCTTGAAGGGATCAGTATACCCATCAAATCCAATGTTCAACGGCTGACGATTTTAAAGGCGAAGAAGCTTTGGGGGTAGGCCTTTGCTTTTAGGGGAACATAGGTTTCTGTTCGAAATGGATGAAGTTAATTCATTCAATTCCTTTTTCTCGTTTAAATTTATTATGTTACTGAATGTTGTGTCGTTGATTTTGGAGCAGGGCCTCTCTGGAGTAAACCAAGATGCTGAAAGTGATGGGGGAGTAATAGGAAATTGCTAAGGTGTTTGTTTACATTGTTGTACAACACCTGTTTGACTGGAACTGCTCGATATGCAAGCATGAGTAGTTGAGTACGCATCCTGGAATTGGTATGCACCTATGCTGCTTCCATGTTGATCTTCTTACTTGTACATTCTGCTTTTGATGAGTTGCTAAAGTAAGATTTTACATTTTTCTTTAATGAATGATGCTTGTGAGTTGGAAATCTGGGACATCTGATTGTGAATGTGTTAAGGCTGCTTATGAATCTGACCAGGTGTGAGAAGAGGTACAAGATGATGAGTCTATGCATGAACCAAAGGGTGGAGAAGAGAATATATTGTTTACTTATGATTCTCCCCTCGCTAACACTTTATAGAGATACAAGGTATTGACATTTGGTCTGCATTCTATGGGTTGGTTTGTTCTAGCTGTTGGATTTCTGTGATTAGTACAACATACAACATTCTAGCTGCATATTCTATTATTGCCAGTAAATTCCCTTTAAGTCTAAGGTGAATTCAATTTCTAAATGCTTAATATGGTCTTAAATTTACTATTAAAAATCAAGCTGATGCGGAAGTGAGTGATGATGTATGAGATAGTGTGATTGAATGCAAGAAGTTATGTGTTTATTGCGTGAAACTGATGGTGAGCAGCGCCATGGCTAGGCAGGAAAGTAGAGGGCTTCACTGTTGCTGAGTGCTGAAAATTACTTCCAAGGTTTTGGTTAGTATTTTTTTTATTCCCATCTCCTTTAGTTGTTGTTCAATGCATTAGTGGTTCTTCTGGATTTTGCATATGGAAAGTATGATTATGAATTGCCAAGCACCTACGTAGATATTACTATATAATTTTTTATATAGAAACGATAAAATGCCAGGGCTAGAAACGATAAGGCTAGTGGTCAATGCTTGACATTTTGATTCTGGCTTTCTCTCTTTCTTTCATGGGTTGATTAGTTTCCTCTTGAAATACATTGGTAAGTTGTTGCAGTGAATGAATGAGCTTTAAATTATCTTCTCACACCATGACAACATCAACTGCAACAATAATTCCAACACAGCAATAACCAGACAACATCAACTGCAACAATAATTCCAACACAGCAATAACCAGAAGCAGTAGATGTAACAGCAGTACTAAAAGCAGTAGGTTAATGTGTGTTCTAATCGAACTTTGGTTGATTCTGGTTTCCTACAGTTTCTGTATTATTTTATAGGTTATGCTAGCTTTTCTGTCCCCATTTTGAATTTCAATAACTTTCTTCCTCTGCATCCATATATTCCTAGGGTAAAATTCAGTTCATGCGGATTCTGAAAAGCTAGCCTCAAGTGGTTCATGTTTTATTAGGTAAAATATCTGTAATGTTACTGTTGTTTTGATTGAGGAATGCATAAGTAGCTTAAGCAGTAACTCTGCTTCTGATTTAGGTGCCAGGTAGTTTGATATCAAGTTAGGTGTATCCCCTGTTTCTACTTGAGGGCTCTTCCAGAGTCTTGAACCAACCCCTGCTCCCCAAAATTTGTACCCAATATACGGACTGAAACTTGATTTTCTTTACTCCTTGTTTCTTTCTCTGTTATGTGTGCAGGTTTTCAAGCAAGAAAAGTAGTATTATGCTCCACTTATCAATACAAGCACCCGAGAGCTGCTTGCAGAGCAAAACTTCAGGGTACAACGAATGGAGATCAATAATCAATACATTAGTTGCTGCGAATATTTTATTGATGGTAAATATGGGTTGGTTTGCTTGATCCCTATGAGGAAGAAATCCCCTTTTGTATATGGCTTGATATCCAATTTGGTTCTATGGAATGTTAGTTTCATCTTGTTATTGTCCATGTAGTATGCTGATTGTAATATATAAAGTGTATTTGCCGTTGATTAACAGTGACCAATAAATGGTATTTGAACAAATTGTAATGACAAATAATGTTAAAATTTCATGTTATAAGAGCTAGTCTTTTCAATTATATGTTCGTATGATCACGGTCCGTGACCAATGTTAGTATATAAACACGGGAGAATCAACCAAATACTATGACTAATGAGTGACATTTATTCACAGGAAATGATTATGTCACGGTAAATACCATGTTAAAAGATGTACTATCCCGTTTCTAAATGAGTTTTTTTTGTCGAATTTGTATGGCAAGAGTTGATATTAGTCATGGGACTCCCCGTGATTGATAGATACAAGTTATCACAGGAAATTATACCGTGACTAGTTGTAACCAGTCACGGTACATATTTCCCGTGACCTTTACAATTAGACACGGAGGTATATATTACGGTAATTTTCCCGTGACTAAAACCATTAAACACGGGAAACACACTTTTAAACACTGGATTTCCCATGATTAAATGATCCTTTTCCTGTAGTGATGGTTCCAGAACTAGTTTGGTCAAATGTCCATGTGTTTAAATCTTCACGACCCCCACTATTAGGGGTGGGCAATGAGCTTGTTGGGTGGATTTTGGTCTAAAATTGACCCACCCGCTTATTAGTGGGTTGGAATATATGTGACTCGCAATCCACCCACATACTTATGCGGGCTGGGTTGGGTGGGTGGCGGATGGGTGCTGTTGGGTTGCGGGTTAACCCATAAAAGCAATTCT